GGGAAAGAGGGTGATCCCCTTCCTACGTCTAAGAGCATTTCACTGGGACTCAGGGACGAGATGCGCCTGCGCACTCCTTGCTTGAGAAGCCAGACACGTCTCCCCAATCGGAGCAGATTGACAAGAAGAAAACACAGATTTGACAACAGGACCACGTTTGAGTCTGCTTTGTACCTCTGCCCACCCTTACCGCCCACCAGGGAGGGAGCCGTGCTTTGCTTCACTTCGGGCTTTGATCAAGGCTCCGCATTTGCTTCACGTCCCTGCAAAGGCATTAGTGTGTGGACCAGCCACATCCTGCCAGCGGGACAGGAGGAAAATCCCAACCTTCTTGGTACGAGCCACGAGAAAGAGAAAAACTTTCACCTACAACCTAGTTGGTCTGTAGACGTTCTGTTAGTCTGTCTGATGTGGGAGAAAAAATTACAGTAGGATGTAAAATAGCATGATTTGATTTTAATGGGATGTATAAAAGAAAGATGTGCCACCATTCCTTCATTATTCATCAAATCAACCGCTAAATCATACAAAAGTTTAATTTTCTTGTTCATCTTTTACATATTCTGGGGCAAATTCTGTCCCATTTTTCATTGACTACTGACTTGACTTCATCAACTGTCATTTAGTGCAGAAGTTATTCCAAGATCTGTATTTAAGTTTTTTAAATGATATGAAAGTGAATTATATATTTGGAGTGCACAGACAGATTAGATTTCCAATCAGTAGGTGTCAATCTCACCAAACATAAATTTCCATAGATAAACAAAATGTATAGATGGCTAAAGTAAGAAAAATGGTTTGGAATTAGGCTTGTTACAAATAAATTAGCAGATTAATACTAAAACTGGTATAATTTTTTGATTTAAGGATACTTACTTTATATTTTGACATATTGGGAATTTGGGCTTTAACAGTTTGTAAAACTTTTAATTTTTTGAATGGCAGCATCTCCGGTATTAAATAATTGTCTGAAACTCTGCTCTTAATTTCCCACATCTGTGAAAAACAATAACAATCTAAAATGCTAAGTAAATAAATCAACATTATTTAATAAAATAAAATCTTACCAAGCCTATATCTATCTATAGATGTTGGTTTTGCATCTTGTTTCTAAAATGTGCGCAGATGTTAAAATAAGTGAAAGGCAATAAAGAACATAGAAAATGATCTAAAAACATCAAACAACATTTCTATCAGCACTTCATTTTCAGGTAATAAATCACATTAATAGACGAGGACACACATTTTTGTTATATGAATTATTTTCAATTCTACAACGTATATTATGCTTCAGCAAGTTTTTTTTAAAGCTTTCCAGTGCTAACACTACACTACTGCACAGTAATACTGCCATGTTATTTCAGTTGTAAACTTCTGTAACCATTCCACTCAACTTTGAGGTTGTTGGCCTGTTTCAAAACTCATTCAAGGGAAAAGACTCCTAATCCACTTCAATGGGCCTTAAATCAGACTTCATAAGAAAATAATTAGGAACACATTTTAAAGAACCCGAACCACATTATAAACAGTACATGTGGATGATACTGTTTTTTGTCTAAGAAAGACCATAGGATTGCTTTAATGATCTTGTGCGTACATTTAAGTTTTGATGACTTAATCTCTCTCTCATTGATGTCATTTAACTCTTGGCCATCAACTTGTGAATGACCCGTAAGTAGGATGGTTTGCATTGCTACCTTGGTGTTTAATATGTAATTTTGGAGTGATAAAAATGGCTTCGATAAACGTTTCAATGTAGTGTCAAACATAACAGAAAAGATCAAAACATACACAAGGTTGTCTATTATATTTCTGTAATCAATATTACTCAGATAGAGTTGACAGGTTAGCTATTTTGTTGAAAAACCTTGGATTTTAATCAAGTTCTTGATGTTTGAAATTTTAAAGCGCAAAAAATAAAATGTATGATATCGTGACCATTCATTGGGCGATCTGTATTTGAGAAAACAGCTACAGTGCTCAAACATTAAAAAGATATAAAATTGTTCATCAATACTTTGCCACTTGCTTTGCCTGAAAAAAAAAGCTGAATTTGGATAACTTATCTTAGCTGTAAAGATGTCTACTTTTTATTGACAAGAGTAGTGGTATAAATAAAATTTGCTTTAAATAAGTTTGTAAAAGAATCTGACAAGCTATTTTATTTCTTTTACTGTTATAGTTGATTATGGTACCAAAGAATTAAATCTTTCTTGTACAGAAAGGTTAGCTAATTGGTAATCCTCATGCTGTCCAAAAATAGGGAGAGAAAAATTCTTTGTCCAAGAACATCTAACTAATCTCCTTTTCTTTTAATATCTCATTGCCCCTTTGTTATGTATATGCATAGCAGATAGAAACTTGATTGTTAAAAAAGCAATGTCTCATTATCTTGACTCTATATATAGACACAGAAAATATGCCATAATAATGTTGCTTTTTTACTTCTTTTCCCTAAGTCTACAGAATTGAATATCTATACACATCAGGGTGTCTTGAACTCCAACTCTTGCTTCTCATCTAAGCGTTCCAGGACAGCATGACACTCCTGTGACCTACTGAACTTCTATTTTAATACTAATGAATCATTCCTGCAAGCAGGCAAATATGGGCTGCTTACTTTTCAGCCAACATGATTTATGGCAGGTCAGCTGACTCCTCCTTGCTTTTGGCAAATCATTCACCTACATCAGCATACCTTCAGTACTGATGGATCTGTTCTTCATTTAAAAATTAAAGATATCTAAGGGTTGTTTAATAAGGTCACTAAGATTATTCAATGCAGTGCTATTTACATGAAGAATCCACTGATTACCTGGCTTCATGGACTTTTTCTATAATTGTTCCTCTTCAGATGCCTTCAGAAAAAGAAGCAAGACAACATCATCATCATCAACATTTAGGCTGAGATTTCCAAAGCTGACTAAGGGGTTTGACACCCTGGTCTCAACAGAAAAAGAAGCAAGACAACATCATCAACATTTAGGCTGAGATTCCAAAGCTAACTAAGGGGTTTGTCACCCTGGTCTCATTAATGGGCATCCAGCTACCCAATATACCTTTAAAAAGCTCTTAGACTTAGTGTTCAGGCTAAAATGTTTCTATGAGCCGCAGAATTACTGTGCACTCTATCCTGTAATTTGCATTTTCAGATTTGAGCAAAACTGTGCATCACAAGATGGCAATAATATTGAATGGTTGTATATGGGTCTGATCCTGTTTCGTGGAAAGCAACGAAACTTACGCTATTAGTTTCAGCTGGGTCAGGGCTGAGGTTCTCTGCATGTTAACATCTGTCTCTTCCAAGGGAAGATCCTATCTGCATCTGTTTTCTTTCCCATTACTCATTTTTCATGAAAAATGCACGGGCATTGTCTGATCTGGTTGGTTGAATTGGCCTAATCTGAAGTGTTTTCATTGCAGTTTCAGGAAAAAGACCTGGCCATAATATTTTGAAAGTTCAAAAGCCAAGGAACTTATGAAAAAGCTGAAATGTAGGCAAAGATAAAGATTGTGATTACACTTGCACATCTGGATCTATTTTCTGGTATCATTGAATGCATCCGGCTACATAGAATAAGCACTAAAAGAACAATGTACTGACAAGAATCACTGTACCTTGTACATGGCATATATATTTCTGGATCTACTTCTGCTAAAAGGTTAGTTCCAAGACCTTATGAGTGAAGGGGACTTTGTAAAGGACTGTTTTATTTTGTAAGATTTGTTATTTACGGTATCAGTTTCATACATACTTTCCTCCTCTGAAGCCTTCTCTCTTGATACTATTAATGACTTTCCATTGTAGCAAATTGATTATCAATTTTGCTGAAGTCCATTTCGGACTTCTGATTCAGACAAGATTCCTCACTGACTTCACTGGGGGAGATTTTTATCTCAGTAAGGAGTATAAGAGCAGCCTTATTTGCACATATTTTCATCTGAAAAATGTCTTGTCTTATCGGAATGAAAAGGACAGTCTCAAGGTGACCAGCATCAAAAAGTAATGCTGGAGAAAAAAAAATGCCATTCTTGTAGGGACACACCACAGTGCTGTTTATAATTGTAAAGCCAATAATAGCTGCACCAGCTTGCAAATCCACCACAGCACATAATAAACTTTTGCTTTTTGCAAGTTACTGTGGATCTAAGCCAAAAGCCAATTCAAATCAATAAATAAAGAGTCTCATTGATTCAATAAGCTTTGCATCAGGCACTACATTACTGACTTCCAAAAGCTAACTATGTGTCTGTATAGCACCTAGTACAATGGGGTTCCTGTCCATGATTAGGGACCATAGACCCTACAGTAATACAA